CATACCCTCATATGATAGCTGGGTATGCAATGCATTATTTTGTGATGCTAGGAAACATTTTAAAATATTTTGTATTTTAATATCTATAGCAACATTATGAATCTTTTAGAGATAAGTGGAAGGAGTCACTTGATCTACAAATAATATACCATATGTAACAATTTCAGTATGTTTCTTTCTCTTCTGATCCCCTCTCATAGACTGAAATCCCAGGCCTTCATGTGAGAAACTAACACCAAGGTTAGGAAAAGGTCAGGGGAGGATGGGGTAAGTGAAGATAATAGTTAAATATCCTTTATATCAAGACTCAGAAATAGAATTTTCTTTTAAGTGTGAAGAGTTACATTTTATAACTTAATGGATTTATGTTTAAACAAGTACACAGATGCTCCAAAGAGACATTAGTAAAAGGGAAAAAGAAGTTGAGCAAAGGAGGGGGAAGGGGGAAGAAAAGGATGAAGGAAGGAAGGATAAGAAGGGAGTCAAGGAGTGACAAGGCAGGAGAAGAGGAAAAAGAAAGAGGGGAAGAAGAAGTGCACAGAGAAAAGAGGTGAAGAAAAGAGGTGAGGACAAGGGGAAGGGCAAGACAAGAGAAGAGAGGAAATGGAAGGAGGAGGAAAGGAAAGAGAGAAGAGGGAGAAACATGAGGAAGGGAAGAAGGGAGCAAGAAGGGAATCGAGAATAACAAAGAGGAGGAAGTGAGAAAAAGAGAAGCTGGAAAGGAGAAATGAAGAGAAGGGGTCAGAGGGAAGGAAGAGAGAAGGGAAATAAGGGGAAAGAAGAGAAGGGAAGAAGGAAGGAAGGGAAGTAGAGAGGGAAGGAAGGAGAGGGGGAAAGATGGAGGAAGAGAAGGAGAGAGGGAGGGAAAGAATAGAAAACAGAGGAAGGAAGGGAAGAAGAAAGAAGGGAGGAAAAGGAGGAGAGGAGCACAGGACAGATCAGAGAGAGTGAAGGGGAGGGATGGACTGAGGAAAGAGGGAGGGAGGGAAGACAAAAGGGAAGAGAGAAGAATAGAGGGGAAGGGAGGAGAGGAAACAAGGACGGGGGGGGGAGGAGAGAGGTGGGGAGGGGGAACTTGAATCTTGAAGCTATTCAGATTTATGCTCTAAGAAAATCCAAAGGCGCCATTTTAATTTCCTATACCCTATATATGCATCACCTGTGTATATTACTATGTATATGCTTAAGTTTTATGAGGTTCCTAAGAACTTTATGTGGCTTGCAGAATGCATGCTATGCAAGCCAGTGAAGTGGATGTGAAGATGAGGCACCCACATCAGAAAGGAGCAACAGTTACACTGTTGAGCACCACCTAGCCCGTTCCAAAGGAGCAGGGTGAGAGTCCACCTGCTTCCGTCAGCTGACTACCCACTCGGCAGGCTGTCAGCAGGTGATTGGGCAAGAAGATGGCTTCTTTGAGAGAAGAGCTCTTCAACCAGGAGAGTTTCCTCCCTTCACAAGCTTGCCCTCACCACAAGTGTCATGAAGGTCATCCCTGTCCACAGAAGCTGGAAGCCTGCAGACTCGTGACTTCTAAAGCCCAAAGGCCGAAAGGATACATATAGTTCCTATGGAGCAGCATCTGGGAAGGGACGGCATGCCCACAGACAACATGGGCAGCCTAGGAAGATCTAGCCTAGGACTGTTCTAGGACACACCAAGAGAAGGTAAACTCCCAAACCAGACAGATAAGATGCATCAGACTACAGCAGGAGAATCACAGGTCAGGAATATCCATGATGGAAGCTCCCTGAAGATACCCAACAAGGCCCTGATAAATGAAATGACTCTGGAATCAGAAGCCTTTCAGACAACCTTGGGCTCTTCTCGTTCCATCATACATGGAAAAGTCACAGAACAGGAGCCTGAAGAACAGGTCAGGTGCAGCAGAAACTGCTGCCCACACTCATTGACTCAGAGATATGGTCACAGTGGCTTGAGCTCCCTAACTAAGTAAAACTTCAGAGACCCTGAGGTTTGACCCAATAGGGCATCATGATGACTGCCATCATGAGACTGGTGTGATGGAAATGACCATGGCACACTAAATCTATGAATATGAGTAAGGCTATTTTAGTTAGACACAAGGGACATGGAAGAATGTACCCACAGAGCAATATGAACAGACTCTAAGTGTTGTGTAGCAATTTTCCTCCAGGGTAAAACATCCCATCCTACAGGGAAGCTGAATAAAAGGCAGAATTTCTTAAGGGGAGGTGAAACATTCCATCCTGCAGGAAGTAAACAACTCAAAGCCTTCAGGAAGTTCCTGAAACCAACCAGATTCCCTAGGTTCCTCCCTCCCAAAGCTTATATAAGCAGTAAGGCCTGCTGAGGCTCATTCTCAGATCAGCTGAGCTGCCTGGAAGAGACTCTCACTAGCCTGTAGAGCTTCCTATAATCTATGTGGTGCCCTCTGGTGTGGTGGTTTGAATTAAAATGGCCTCCATAGGCCCATAGGGAGTGGCACTATTAGGAGCTGTGGCCTTGTTGGAGTAGATGTGGCTTTGTTAGAGGCAGTGTGCTACTGGGGCAGGCTTTGGGGGTCTCAGAAGCTCAAGCCAGGCCTAGTGGCTCACAGTTCACTTCCTGCTGCCCATGGATCCAGATGTAGAACTCTCAGCTACCTCTCCAGTACCATGTCTGCCTGCATGCTGCCATGCTTCCCACCACAACGAAAATTGACTAAACCTCTGACACTGTAAGCCATGCCCAGTTCAATGCTTTCCTTTATAAGAGTTGCCATGGTCATGGTGTCTCTTCACAGCAATAGAAACCCTAACTAAGACATCTGGATTTCCAACTTTTATGAGCTTGTTACTCATGCAGGGGTGGGCTTTTGGTGATATGTTTGCCTTTGAGTCATTCTGCTCTTCGAAATAATCCGATGAAGCTCACTAGCTCACAAAAGTTGGGCTTTGATAGTAGCTTCTCTTGAGTCTGTCATCAGTTCTCTAGCTGGGGTGAACAGATATTTGCTCACTTCTCCCCAGGAATAGGGTCACTCAACACCAGGGGGTTAAGTTATTTCCAACTGCCCTTCCAGTATGGCTGTCACAGCAGAATTTCACAGTTCAAATGGCCAACGAGTGAGATTTGAATTATACAGAAAGAGGTCAAAGAGAGTGTTCATCAGTCTGAATGACACTGACTCCACAGACATGGCTTCTAAATGAATGCACAGCTCAACAAAAGTGTGATTAGCTCCTGACAGAACACTAACATTCAGGAACAAGAAGAGCCTAACCAAACTGGTCAGCAGCCAAACAAAGCCTGTGATGTTCCATTCAATGGTGTTTCCATGACCTCCTTATAACTAACAAGCAATTTCTAACATAAAATTCACACCAGAAGGCCAAATTTAAAATGAGAAATCGTTATGGATGGAGAGGGGCATGTGGGCTGGTGAGGCAGATGGAAAGCAAGCAAACACAGAGGAATAATTGCAAATGCTTTCAAATAATATCTATTTCTATGTCTCTCTATACAGTTTACATAGTTGATTTTCAAAAGAATTAAGAGTGGCTTGAAGGGATACTGAAGAAAGTGCCAGTCTAGATACAGCACAGAAATGCTGCGGTGGAAAAGAAGGGTTCAGATACACACAGAAACAGAGACATGTTGTAAAAGGCTGATATTAAAGGGGTGGGGCTTAAACAAGGAGGTGCCATAGCCATGCTTAGAAAAACAAGAGCCCATAGCCCATCAGGAAAAGTTTGAGCACGGATCAGAATTTTAACTCTTGTCTTAGAGGGAGGTGTACAATTTCAAATTAAAAAATAAAATAGCCGGACAAGAAGAAGTAGTTTAAGGTATGGTGGACTTAAACTATAATATGGAAGGTCTCAAAGACTAGCACGGATATCATCATAGAAACAGTAAGTCTCATCAATAGAACTTGCTTGGATATAGAGGCTGAAAGAGGATCAAAGGGAGAAAAAAATGCAAACATCCTCGTAGACATGTAGTTGTTTGGGGATCACTTTGAAAGGCCCCCGATGGGATGGGGGAGGTGAGGAAGCTCCACTGTATCAAAAGAAGCAGATCCCAAGACAGGGATGGAGAGAACCTGGCCCCAAGATAAAGATGAAGAGAGACAGCCCCAAGTAAGGGTAGGTGACAAGGGAAAAATGAAGTAACAACTTCAGTCTGTCTCGAGAGACTCTTCCTATGAAGTAAAAAAAAAAAAAAAAAAAAAAGCAAAATACTAAGGCAAACTGTCATTGCTATGAACTTTGGGGACAAGCTGAGTGGGGATGTAAATGCTGGGGTGACTGAACTCCACTCAAACCTTGGAGTATTAACAGAAGGACTTGGATACTTTGATAGATTGGTCTAAATTAACTCCTGCCCCACTTCGTTTTTTCCTTGCCTCTCACCCACACCTATTTCCTCTGTCTCTCTTTTCATTCCTCATCGTTTTTCTTAACAGATGAAGAAACAGAGTACCAATGCCATGGTACCATGACACAAACTGCTAACAGTGTGGACCTCACACTGCCTCCAGACCGGGCACCTGTAACTGCCTTTTCTATGTGGCAAAGCCATTTGCTTTTCCCCTTCACTTTTCAAGACTGCATGAACACAGGAAAAGCCCTGCCTTTCTCTCTATAATGCATGGAGCAATATTGAGACTGTACCGCAGCATTTTTAAGATAGAACATTCACTTTTGTTTAGCAAATCATATTGAATACTAGTAACAAAACCCTTCCTATACATCAACATTTGTATACATCAACATTTGTATAATTAAACCAATTACATAAAACGATCTAATTGGGAGTAGAAAGTCCTTTTATGGAGCCCGCTGCAGTTGACAGTAACTCAGAGACATAAAAGGTTCTAACTGGTGACCGGTAAAATGTGGTCATTATAGCCAAGCAGTGAGTTCAAACACTAAAAGAAGCTGTGCTAAGAAGCAAAATGAAAAGGTTCAGAGGCAGCAGCGAGCATGCGCTTTTTGGTCACAAGTCCTTTGTAAATGCAGGGAAACACATACCCATTTTTCCACATCAACCTGCTGTGGAAAGAAAAAGCCAAAAGAAATTAAAAACAAAACAAAACAAAAACTCCTAACAATGTTTCCGATGGTTGTCTAAGTCAACTAAAGTGTGACCCCTGACCCAAAATCTACTTCCTATTTCAAAGAATATACAATAATATTCAAACTTCCCATTATCAATTCATCTCAATAAACCAAAGAATTCTCAGTTAGTAAAGCAATCCCATAGGTATTCTGCTAAAAATGAAGCAGGTCCAGAAGACAGCCCAAGACACTCAAAAGGTGAGTTGAGCTGTATAGAATCTCAAGCACAATCTGCCATCTTGATAGTTAGAACCCCTCCCCCGAAAGCTCCACTTAATTATAAAGGACAATGACAATCTGGAGACAAGATGCTTCATAGTAACTTCCCTTACAACATGAAAAGCAAAAATTTCTCTTACCTCATTCTTTTGAGCATTACATAAAATTCCACAATAAAAAAGAACACTGTATTGTCAAATAATTCTGATATGACACTCAGATTAATCTAGATTGTTTTTATTAGTGAAATGCAAGGTACTCTAATCACAGTGTGACTCATTTAAAAAACAAAAGTGACATGAGTATGATACCCACGGTATAAAAAGAACAACAACAAAATTACATGTCAACAAGAACGCCTTTTAGAATGTTCCTGGAGTCCACTATGGAGGGACACACTCAACTCTAAAAGTAAATCTCCACTCTTCACCCCTAGAATAGAATGCATGATTTATGTCCTGTGATAACTGACATTAATTCATACTGTTCATTAATTTAGGTTTTTTTTCTCCTTAGAAAATTTCATTAATCAGATCTAAAAAAAAAACAAAAACTAAAGCTGTTTAGCTAAAGCTAAATCCAGGCATTAGCTAAGTATATCCATGTCTTGTAAGCCACATTTGTTAAATGTTATAAAATGATTTTAAGACTGAGTATGGTGGCACAGACATTAGATAATTCAAAAGGTAAATCGGTTTCTTTAGAGCTAGAGTAAATGGAAGCAAGATGAGGAGAGGGAAAAACTCCATTGTGACATGAAAGTGGAAAGGGGTTGCTAGGGATGGAAGAGCACAAGTGGCGGGGCATGGGAAAGGGAGAGAAAAAAACATAAGGAGATTTTGTTTGAAAACTGTCATAATGAAACCCAATTCTTTGTATGCTAACAATGAAAGAAAAATGTGGCTCAGTTGTCACAGACTGTCCTATACCCAAATGGACAAATCTTATATTTGTATGCTTATAAGAAAAAATATTTTAAACAACTATTTCTTTTCCATATTTATCAGGAAAATTTTAATGCTGTGTTTTAATAATATAAATGATTATCAAAATGTATGATACCATCATGCTCACATTTAAATGCTAGACATTCACACAGCACACGGGCTTGTACACACCAGAGCAAAGATAAACACTGTAGGATTTATCAGAAGACAGACTTGGGAATCAGGCCATAGTTAACATTATCAGCTACAGGAGTTTTAATGATGACACAGTAGTGGGGGTTGGAAAGAACAACATGAACTCCCCTCTCTCCAGATAACCAGAGGGGCTTAGCAACAGCTAGTGCTAGGCAGTGGATGGTCAGCTGGACACACAAGACAAGGACCACAGGGCTGTAACTACACATAAGCCAGGCACAGTGATTTCATGACACGGCTCTTGTCAAAGTCAACATGAGTCACTTTTTGCAATACCTGCAAACAGTGAGGAGAAAAAACAATTTTCATGGGGCTAATCAAGAAATTTACACACACAAAAGAAAAAATCTCCAAAAACTTGGTCAGTTTTAGAATCTAAGCAATTACCAAATTCATAAAAAAAGGAGGGAAAAAAATGAACATTTTTCTAAGAACTTACTCGTGACTTTTTTAAGACAAGATTTCATGTATCTCAGACCTGAACTCCCCATGCAGCTGAGGATGACCTTGAATTTCTAATCCCCCTGCTGCATTCCCACACACTGGAATTGCAGCCCCACCATGCTTGGTTTATGCCTAGGTGGAGTCGAATCCAGGGCTTTGCGCACACTAGGCAAGCATTCTACCAACAGAGCTACATCCCTAGCCCTTGATTATGTGGAAGTTTAAAGAAATATATCAATTTTATCATGCTTGAGAAAATACTACAATATTTGTAGCAGATTATACTAAATGTTTTATCACAGGAACACTAATAAAAAGAGCAACCTCATTTTTTAAACAAAAATATCTCTTAAGAGAAGTAGTCATTTTAAAAGTCAGCTTGATTTAGCAGAGGACACAACAGTCCAATACAAAAATAACTCCTGCTGAAATTATATCATTAAATGAAAAACAGGTAATTCACATACCATCTCAATTTTGCATTTATGTTTTAATTGCAAGTTAATGCACCAAGTATGGAAAATCCATACCCTTACACTGTTGGTGCTGTTGTTTCTTGGAGTTGCCTCAGTCATTTTATTTGAGACTGTGTTGAGTAGTTATTCCTCCTATTCAAACACCCACTTCTCAAGAGAAGGATGAGGCTCTAAAGACTCAGAAAGCTTGTGATGTTTAAAAAATTCAGAAAGTCACAAGACTGACAGGCCCTCTCCCCAAAAAGTGTAAAAGGTTGCTGGGAAGAGGTGAGTCTCAGGGCAGTGGCCTGCAAATGGGGCAGATTGTCCACACCCTGTTGACTGACTTCCCATGTACAGTAACAGTTACTATGATAGCTGTGGTCTCACATTGATGGGTTTCCCTTATCACTGTGCCTAGCTTGACTTACTAAATGTGTAAGCTCTATCATCAGACTCATATAAATTTATAATTACTATGTTTGTCTTATAAATTTGCTGTCCTCATAAAAAAAGTCCATCTTCGTTTCCATACTTATTTCTGCCCTATTCCATTTCAGACAGTAACTTCACTACTCCAGCTATATATACATATACAAATATTGTCAGACTACAGCTTTTATTTTTCCTATCATTTAATATGGTCAGCAGCACATAACTGTTAATCAAGCAACAGAAAAAGCAGGACTGAGGCCTCCTGCATGTTCAGCCTCCTTAGCCCTACTCACAAATTTTAACCAAAATATTCTATTCACTTACATTTAGCTTTATTGCTGAAATATATTTATCATTGCACTTGTATTCCGTAGGTCTCTTGGTCTTTCTAAATTGTTACTGAAATGTAATTTACAGGGTTAAGGTTAGAGCTCAGCTCAGTGGCAGGGGCCTGCCTAGTATGTGCACAGTCCTTAGCTTGATCCATGTCCCCTACTACCCAGCAACTATACCCCCTAGAGAAAAGAAGGGAGAGGAGGAGATGGGAGAGAGGAGAGGGGGAGAGAGGGAAGGGTGAGGAAGAGGTTGAAACAACTTCCATGATTTTTGCCTATTAAAGCACACAATTAACAACTTTTTACCATATTTAAAGAGCAGAAAGCCATCACTAATAATCTAAATTCAGAACAGATTTAATCCCATTATGTTCTTATTTCTCTCCTCTTCATTCTTCTTCTTTACGTTAATCAAATACTGTGGTTCCATTTGCCCTGAAGGCTGCTGAGTACACCAGTCTTTTCCTTGACAAAGATCACTTAGGCATTGATGGTTTTTAACACTCTAGTACAAATTAGCAACTTCAGCATGTTCCAAAAGGAGCAGTTTTATATCTTCCCATTTTTTTGTTATTTTATTATGCATTTTAACCACAGGTATTTGTTTACTATTTTTATTTTTGTGTATATGTGTGTGCATGTACGAGTTTATGTGCAGCACATGCATGCAGGTGTCTGTATCAGATTCCCTTTGTGTGCAGCTACACCAGTGCTGGGAACTGAACCCAGGTCTTCTGCAAGACACCACTACCCTTAACCACTGAGCCATCTCTCAAACCCCCATAGCACATATATTTTAAACCCCAGGTTTCTGAAAGTATTAGGCATACCTCAATGTACTTCTTTTGTGCTGGAATTCTGGCTCCACATCCCTAGCTACCTTGGAAGTTTCCATTGTCTCTGAAACGTATTTCTTATGTAACTTAATACCTCTTATTAGAGTTAATGAATTCTAAATTAGTCATTTTTAAATGTTCCTAGTTTTGAGCTTTTAAACTTTTTGTCCCAGAAGTTACAATACTGGTCAACTGCTCTTTGGAAACAAAACTACTTAATTTTATGCCTCTCCAAATGTTTCCTGCAGTGTCTGACTCAAATGAGAAACAATGTAAAACAAGCATTGCTTGGATTTGTAAGTTTCTTTCCCTGCAAACTTGCTATGGATTATATGTGGACTGCAAATTACCTAATATGTACTAAGTGACCAAACCGCCAATGAACACAGAACTAAAAGAAATCTGCATCGTTATGTTGGAACGTTAGTACTTAACACACTTCAACAGTGCGTTTGTCCCCAACAGGAATGATGCTAATTCTTCCTGTGAATCTGTTGTGACAGGCACAATAGCAGGCTTTCTGACATGCTTTCCTTAACTATTGGACACAATATTCACCAAGAAACCTTTCAGTTCTCCTTTTATATTTATCTTTTAAAAAAAAAATATGTGTGAGTCTGTGCTTGTGGGTTCAGATGCCCAGTAAGGTCAAAGGTGGGAGTCATATCTTCTGGAGCTGGAGTCACAGATAGTTGTGAACTACAATGTATAGATAAATGCTAGGAACTGAACTGGAGTCCTCTGAAAGAACAGAACCACACTCTTAGGGGCTAAGCCATCTCCCCACCTACTTCTTTCTTGTATTAGTACATATTTTCTTATTTAAAAAGATGCGTTTACTTTTATGTGTATGGATGTTTTGTCTGCATGTATGTGTAATTGATACTCACATACACCAGAAGGGGAGGGGGTGGATCCCCAGGAACTGGCGTTATAGATAGTACTTAGTCACCATGTGGGTGATAGGAACCAAACCTAGATTCTCTGCAAGAGCAGCTAGTGCTCTTAACTGCTGAGCCATCTCTAGCCCCTTAATATATATTTTCAAATGTCAGAATAGAGATTCCT